TTTAAAAAAAAAAATTGCTAGAGGGCATGTGAACTCACGAGAAAGAGAGAGAGAGAGAAGGAAAGTGAGAAAGTGCTCCCCCATGGTGGATAGTCAGACCACAATCCTTTGTCTTTGTCTTCCATGTCTCATTTTGTGATTTTGGGCACACATTCACACATGCATGCATGACATTTTTCAAGCTGCCGGGTCCCAGAGTTGAACAGGGCAGTCAGCCATGTGGGATCCAGCCACTTTAACCACCATGCCACAGGCTGGCCCTGCTCTCTCTTTAAATAGCACACTTACATTAGAACTTTTGTGTTTTTCAGTTTGGGGCATTATTTTTTGACCTGTACCATGAAGAGGAACATTTAGTTCTCCTTCGTCCCTTGACTTCACCAAGTATGTCCAATTTTATCCTCTTCCTCTCACCATAGAGGGTGTCACCAACATGACAAAATAGCGTTATCTTTGTTTCCTAACCTTAAGGTCACCCTGTGCTTATATTTAAATTTGGTTAGATCAGGCCAGCCTGAGGAAGTTATATGTGATGGATCCCTTATGGCAGACTGCATGGTTCAAGTCCCAAACCCAGTGGCTTGAAAATCATGCTGAACATGTATGCATGAGTGCCCAAAATCCTGTAAAGAGGGAGAGATAGAGAAGAAGGGATTAAGGTGGGATCAAGCACCCAAGTGCTTTCTCACTTTTTTTCTCTACAGTGAGTGCATGTGCTCTCTGGCAAATTAAAAAAAATTTTGGTTAGATCAATTTTCAGTCTTTTTGTATACTATCTTGATTATGTATAAGCTATTTAAAGTCAGCCATGTGGCAAACCATGGTTTTTCTGGTTTTATTTTTGTTTTGTTTTGCTGTACAACTTTGAGTCATAAAATCCTAGGCCAAAAATAACTTTCTTTCTAAATTTGTAGCTGTCGTTTAATGGTCTCATTGTGTCTCAAGTTGCTGTTGAGAAGTCTGAAGATTCTGGTTCTTGTATTTTTTTTGTTTGTTTTGTTTTGTTTTGTTTTATAAGTTTTTCCTCCTGGAAACTTTAGGATCTTCTTTTTGTCTTAAGTGTTTTATTGTTTCACAGTAATGAGAGAAGGTGTAGGTCTGTTTTCATTCAGTATTTTTGAAACTCATGCTCTTCAGAGTTCTGGGAAATATAATTGAATTTTTTTGAAGTTTCTCCCCATTTTCTCTGTTCTCTCTGAGCTTGTCTCTGTTTACTCTGTATCTCTCAGATAGTGGATCTGCTGGGCTGGTTCTCTAATTTTATATTTTCTCTACAATTTTCCATCTTGTATTTTTGTAATACTTTCAAAGTAAGAATTCACCCCTAATTTACCTTCCAATCCTTTTACGGAGTTTTTCAAATTATAATTTTTAATTTCTAAGAGCTCTAGAATACTTTTTAAAAATAGTATCCCATTTCAAGATGGTATTGTTGTCTCCTAACTCTTTAGAATCCTCACTATTCTCACCTCCATAGAATTTGTTTTCCCCAAGTGGCTATTTTGGGTTCTCTAATATCAGACATTTCCTCAAATGTTTTGAAATTCTACTCATAGTTAAGGACTGGGGATTCAAAAAGCTCAGTGGGCTTTATTTTAAATTATTTTTAAATTTATTTAATGACAGAAAGAGAGAGCGAGAGCGAGAGCGAGAGAGAAAACACTCCCAACAGAGTCTTGGTGCCACAGTCAACTCCCAGCATCAACCAGCCCTGGATTATAAACACATGTATGCCCTCATCTCCAGACTCAAACCAGGAAACTTCCCATGTGGGATTACCTCATTGAATATTGCTTTGTTACTATCATAAGACCATCTGGTTCCTCAATGGGGTCTATCGATTGTGAATTTCAATGAAGGGTAATCTGGTTGCCCAATTAAGTTGGGAAACTTCTTATGTCACAGACTGCTCAGATACCTCAGAACAGTCCTCTTGATATCCTGCCTGAAAGCTGGATGCCCCTCTGGCCAGGATCCTGGGAGCTGAGTAAGAGGAGAGGTCATGGATTTCAGCAACCATATTGATATGTTTGTTTAATCAATCTATCTTTAATTTAGTAATTTTACTTTCTACTGTTATCCTATGGTCCAGATACCCTCTGTTTTATTCTCCACAGATTAAATCTTAAGTGTTTCTTTGGAGTTGAACTTGGGAGACAGTCACCTGACTGTATGGAATGAGAGAGTTTCTGGGTTTCTGACTGACTTGTAAATAGATTCAATCTTTATTCATTTAGATACACCCCTTTTATTCTTACTACAAAGGGGTATGTGATATTACCAATTTCTGAACATTTAGGAAAATGTAATTTTTAAAAAAGTTTTCTTTTTACTTTCTTTCATGAAAGAGGGACAATGAGACTCTAGACAGTCTTGCCATCTTGTGATCCTCTCCCCCACCCCAGCCTTCCAGCCAGCCAGGGTCACCTGGTATGTTTAAGTTGACCTGCGGATCTAATCCCCAGGCCTTCCCACACAGTTCCAATATAGTGCAACAGTGCCCTAGTAGTACAACAGAGAAGCCAGGCCATTTAAGAGCATTTAAATCTGATTGGTCCTTGGCTTCTCTTGTGGAAGTCGTAAACTTCAATTTTCTCAGGTCTTCTAAGTCATTAGCCTTTGCCATCCTGCTGTCCAGCTTTCAAATGGTATTGCTCTTGTTTCTTCTCCTGTTCTACTTTTTTTTGTGGGTTCTATCTTTTGAAAACTCATTTACTGTTGTTTTAAAGAAGTTCAGGGAGGGAGGAAAATGTATATGTATATGCCTGCCCTCCTATGTTTCCTAGAAGTCTTTTCTTTTTAAAGTTTTTCCCATATGGTGTGTGTGCTTACTGGAGAGAGACAGACAGAGAAAAAGAAGGAAAGTGAGAAATCATCCCCTCCTCCCCAAGGGAGATGGCTATGGCACAATTCCTTCTTCTCCATTCTCCTCTCAGGATTCTGGGCATGTATGCACATGTGCCCTGCATGATTTTCAAGCCTTTGGTTCTGGGACTTGAATCGTGATCAACCACACAGGAGTCCAGTGCTTTAACCACCATGCTACCTGCTGGCCCTGTGTTTGCTTTTCTTTACCTCAGTTCGATCTCTCTTTTGGTCTTACATTCTCCTGAGTGGTGAGAAAATACTATCAATTAGGGTCTCCTCGGTCACTTCGGGTCTCCCTCCTCCTTGGGGTTGGCTCTGAGTTCCAGGTTGCTTATTTAGAGCCATAGGGTGAGCTGGGGATGGGAGTGAGTGGAGGTGTCTTAGGCTGTCATCATGGATTGCACTGGTATCCATGGCATGTGTCATATATCTGGCCCCTGGTTAGCAGTCTATGGAGAATGTGCTTGCAATCTTTCCATTCTAATTCTAGGTCTCCTGCAGGCTTGCAGGCCCTCAGCAGCATGCTGGCTTATGAGCAGACTAATGAGACAGCTTCAGGCTTGTCCATCAAGGTGGTCCCCATGGCTGTCTCTCTTGTTCCCACACCATGCTGGGCATGAGAGAATTTTGTAAGACTTCCTGCTTCCTCAGATTCTACATGGGATGTAGGGTACAGACCTCATCTACTCTTGGCTCCCCAAATCTTTCTCAAACTACACTTTTTCTCCCCAGATGGGTCAGTCCACTTGGGTCTATTGTTGATGCCTCAGTATTATGCTCTATATTCTTTATGGTTCTGGATTCTGAAGTTTAAAAGCTCAGGTTATAGTATTTCAAAGGTCATTTCTTCCAAAGTATTATTTCTGCCAATAGTTTCTAAAGCCTATTTTGAAAACTTGGATCTCAGCAGTTCATTTTTACCCTGACTTTTTCATAGTGATATTTTGAGACTTTGTTAGTGGACTGCCCTAGCAGCAGCCTGGGTGAGGGTAAAGTGGGGAGGGTCCGGAGGTACCTGTTTTCCTATTAGGTCTTTATGATAAGCGTTTTTGCTCTGTTATCTATCTTCTCATATATGTAAGATTTACCTTTTAACCTGAATATTAGGTTTAATGAGGGGAGAGCTACACTTAGAATTTTTTTAAGCAAATGATAACATTATCTTTGTAAGTGTGTTCAGCGTATAATAATGACTTCATGGATTTATTGAAGACTTTTAGCCTTGTATCTTTATGATGTGTAACTGAGCTTGGAATCTAGAAAACAGTTAAATAATTGATAAATGTTCTGAATACACCTTGGAAGAATTCCCAAAAAGAAACTAAACACAATATTACCATTGTACAAATTATTTTTGGTAGAGATTTTTGACTTAGGGTACATTTGCTTGCCTTAGAGAGAGAGAGAGAGCGAGAGAGAGAGAGAGAGAGGGAATGGGAAAGTGAGAAATCACCTCCTGAGGTGGATGGCCATGTCACATTTCCTTCTCCATTCTCCTCTTGGTATTTTGGTTGTATATGCATACATGCCTGGCATGAGTTTTAAGCCACCAGGTCTGGGACTTGAACCACAGTTGGCTGTGTGGGACCTGTGCTGGTCCCACCATTATACAATTTTTAAAAAGAACGTATTTTATTTACTTGGAAAGTAATAACTATAGGACTATAACAGATGCTCAAATATTTTAAAAGGATTAAATTTATGGATGGTTAGAAACAATCCTTTTATCTCTAATTTGATTTTCAATTTCAGGCTCAAGTTGACAGATCTTTTAGAAACCTGGCCCTAGAGGCCAAGGAAGACCGATTCTTCCTGCTGTTGCCTGCTGCCTGAGTGCCAGGAACTCAC